TCTAAATATCAAATGAGTATCAATTCCTTGCATAGTGTATTCTGAAAGACTTGTGAAGCAGCAGCAGCGGGTATACTGGGAATAAGACAATCTACGTGGGAATCAGGCACAGTCTGAGGAGCTGGGGGAACCGTGAAGAGCAAGAGCAAAATGGCAGGAACCTGGAGACACCTGTGTTTCTGACTTGGACCAAGGTCATCCTGTAAGAAAGACTTCCCAGAGCAAAGAGAGGCAGGAAAGCAGGGAGAAAAGCAGACCCCACTGGCATCTCCTCCTCCTCTTCCTCTTCACCAGAGGAGAAAACAAAAAGCGGAGACGCCTGTGAAGCTTCACATCGACAGGAAGAGTTGTCTAAAGAACTGTTATATTTGCAAGGGATGCTGCAGACCCCCTCTCATATGCCAAATATCCGTATGATCAATTAGAGACATTATAGGGAATGTTCATATCTCTAGAGGTACTGAGTTTCCCATGAGATTTGCTTTATCTAAAAATAAAAAGGAATTACAGTTGTGTTAGTCTGGGTTGACTAGAAAAACAAATCCTGAGACATTTATATGTGTGTAAGGGAGAGGTTTTTTTTTGTTTTTAATCATTTTATTGGGGGCTCGTACAACTCTTATCACAATCCATACATACATACATTGTGTCAAGCACATTTGTACATTTGTTTCCATCATCATTCTCAAAACATTTGCTTTCTGCTTGAGCCCTTGGTATCAGCTCCTCATTTTCCCCCTCCCTCCCCAACCCACCCTCCCTCATGAACCCTTGATAATTTATAAATTATTTAGTCATATCTTACACTGTCCAACGTTTCCCTTCACCCACCTTTCTGTTGTCCATCCCCCAGGGAGGAGGTTATATGTAGATCCTTGTAATCGGTTCCCCCTTTCTACCCCACCCTCCCTCCACCCTCCACCCTCCAGGTATCGCCGCTCTCAGCACTGGTCCTGAAGGGCTCATCTGTCCTGAATTCCCTGTTTCCAGTTCCTATCTGTACCAGTGTACAAATCTGGTCTAGCCAGATTTGTAAGGTAGAATTGGGATCCTGATGGTGGGGGTGCGGTGGTGGTGGTGGTGAAGCATTTAGGAACTAGAGGAAAGTTGTATGTTTCATCGTTGCTACACTGCACCCTGACTGGCTCGTCTCCTCCCCGAGACCGTTCTGTAAGGGAATGTCCAGTTGCTTACAGATAGATCTTGGGTCCCCAATCTGCACTTCCCCTCATTCACAATGACTTGATTTTTTTGTTCTTTAATGCCTGATGAAAAGGGAGAGTTTTATATCCAAGAGTAATTGTATATTAAGAGAACATCCCGACCCAGTCCAGGTCAAGTCCAGATGTTCGATTTTAGCTCTTAAGCCTGATGTTAGTCCAGATGTCTGAGATGAGCCCATGTGTCCGATACTAGTCCATACATTCTTCTACAGATTCATGCAGCACATGCAATGATGCCCAAAGCAGGAAGCTCACAGGCCAGTGGGTGAGTCTTTTGGAAGCATCTCTGTGCTGGTGTGGCTACCCATGTGGCTCCTCCAGGTCCAGGGCTCTGGCTGCCATAAGCTATGCTGATGGCTGGCTTGTCAAGGGAACGTGAAGCAGAGAGAGTGTGTGTCCCACCTCCAAGAGTTCCCAGAATCCTCAGGAGAAGGTCATGCCCACACAGGCATCATTGGCTATGACCTGATTGACAGCCTAGACTCCACCCCTTCACTTAAGTTGACCAGAGATTATGTAACTGCCACATGTTTACTGTAATAAATTCAGAGAAATCACCCAGAAAAGAATAAAAAGTTATCTTTAATAGTGTGAACTTAAAAAAAATTGTGTGAACTTTAAGTACTGCAAATTGAGTTTAGTGTTTTGTTTTGTTTTTTAATTCAAAAAGGCAGATATGGTTTGAAACTCTAAAGTCACAAAGGGGAGACATTTGAAAAGTGCTCTAGCTTTTTTTTTTCCTCAGAGGCCACTAGAGTAAGCAAGTCTTTGTAGCTTTCCTCATATATGCTCTGCCCACCCGTGTTTTCTTCTGGACACAATTGAATAGAAGAAACAGGACCACTCTGAGCACCCAGACACCTTTCCTCTCAATAAGCCAAAGCTTGAGAGTAGACTCTTGAATTTCTCCTGCAAGCAAACAACAGAAATAGAAGCCAATTCTCATGCAGGCCGGGGACTGGGGGTTGGGTCTGCTTCTCTCTCAACTGGCAGATGATACTTAGCATGAAAAAGAATCATGGTGTGGCTAGGACTTGGGCCCCAGGTGTCAGGTGCTTTCAATTTAGGACCCAGAGCTAGGCTAGCTTTAAGGAGTGATGACTGAGAACATGTCAGAGATAGGATAAAAGAATGTATGGCCATCATGTGTGATAAGGAACAAAGCTTCAATGACCTTCTCTGAAGAGGAGGCTAGGTGTGATGTGAGCTTGGGAGAGAAGAGCTGTTTTAGGTAAGCTGCCCAAGCCATACCTTCATAAAAAGAAGTCAGTCTATCATTGAAAGAGCCCCAGTGGTGCAGTGGTTAAGTGCTTGGGGGATAATTGAAAGATGGGGAGTTACTGTGAGTCTGAATCAATTCGATATCGATCGGTACAATCAAAGTGAGAGGAGCCTTAGTAGTGCAATGGTTAAGTGATTGGTCTTAATAAAAAAGTCAGGGATTAGAACCAAGGGGCAGCTACATGGGAGAAAAGATCTGGTGATGGGCTCCCATAGAGACTGACATTCCAGGAAACCCTATGGGACATTTCTACTTTGTCACGTAAGGTCAGAATTGATTTAAGGACAAATAACAACCACAATGTAAAGAGGGAATGAAGCGAGAGAGGCAATCTCCTGGGCAGGAGATTGATAGCCATGGGTTTGAGTGGAACCCAGGTCTGAAAGTTGAGTTAGCCTTTACTCGATCAGGAGAGTGTCTGGTGGCTCAGTGGATTAAACATTGGGCTGCTAATTGAAGGGCAGTGCTTCAAATCCACCAGCTGCTGTGAAGACGATGTGGCAGTCTGTTTTGGTAAAGATTTGCAACCTTGATCCTATAGAGCAGGTCTACTGCATCCTATACTCGGTCCTACAATTCCTGAGTGGGATTTGACTCCTTTGGAGGCAGGTGTGATTGAAGGTGGTCTACTCGAACAGAGGAGAGAGGAGCTGACAAATCAGATGGCTGCACAGTTTATTTAGGAAAGGGGCTGGTTTCGGAAGGAAACTGGGATAGGTTCATAGGCCCTGGAGCCTCCTTGTTGTTGCTAGGTGCTTTTGAGTTGATTCCCGGGGCCCTATGTAGAACATCATGAAACACTCCTAATCCTGCACCATCCTAACAATTGTTATGTTTGAGCTCATTCATGCAGCCACTGTGTCACTCTACCTTGTTGGGGGGGTCTTCCTCTTATTTTGTTGACCCTCTACTAAGCATGCTGTTTTTCTCCAGGATTGATCCCTCCTGATGACTTGTTCTAAGTACATGAGACAAAGTTTCGCCATCCTTACTTCTCAGGAGCATTCTGGTTACACTTCTTCCAGGATAGATTTGTTTATTCTTTTGGCAGTCCATGGTATTTTCAATATTCTTTGCAAATACCATAATTCAAAACCATCAGTTCTTCCTCAGTTTTTCTTATGCGTTCATATGCATACAAGACAATTAAAATACCATGGCTAGGGGCAAGTTTACCTTAGTCCTCAAAGTGACCTCGTTTCTCAACATTTAAAGAGATTTTTTTCCAGCAGCGTTGTTCAGTGCAATACATCTTTTGATTTCCTGATTCCTGCATTCATGCACATTGCTTGTGGAGCCAAGGAAGATGATACTTTAATCTTTAATGAACAGTGACAACTTTAATCTTTTCTTAGTTTTGTGATGCTGCTGCTTATTGGGCCCATTGCGAGGGGTTTTGTTTTCTATTGAAGTTGAATCCATATCAAAGACTGGTTCTTGATCTTCATCAGTAAGTATGTCAAGCTCTCTTTGTTTTTTAGCAAGCAAGATTTTGTAATCTGCATATCAAATATTGTTAATGAGTCTTCTTCCAAACCTGATGCAAGGTTCTTCTCCATCTAGTCCAGTTTCTCAGATAATTTGAATAAATATGGTGAAAAGACACACCTTTCCTGATTTTAAATCACGCAGTAGCTCCTTGTTCTGGTCAAAGGACTGTTTCTTGGCTTATATACAGGTTCTGCAGGGGCAAAATGAAGTGCTTTAAATTCACCATTTTTCTCAGTGCTATTCATAATTTGCTATGATTCAAATAGTCAAATGTCTTTGCATAGTCAATTAAACACAAGTAAACATTTTTCTGGTTTTCTCTGCTTGCAATCTAGATCCATCTGGTTCCATGCCTTCTTCTGATTCTGGGTTGAATTTCTAGCAGTTCTGATGTTGGCGTACTGCTGCAACTGGCTTGGATTATCTTCAGCAAAATTCTACTTGCATGTGTGTAGTTGGATAATTTCTGCATTCTGTTGGGTCACCTTTCCTTGGAATGGGCACTAATATGAATCTCTTTCGGTTGGTCGGTCAGGTACCTGTCTTCCTTTTTTGTTGACATAGATAATTGAGTCCTTCCAGTGCAGCATCTGTTTATTGAAACATTTCAGTTGGTATTCTGCCAATTTCTTGAGTTTTGTTTATTGCCTATACCTTCCGGTCAGTTGGGGCTTCTTCTGGCAGTAACAGGAGTTCTTAGTTACGTACTGAAATGGTTGAATTAACTGAGTCCTTTTTGGTAGTGATTCTATGTATTCCTTCAATCTTCTTTTGATGTTTTCTTCCTGCGTGGTTCAAGAATTGTCCACAGAATCCTTCAATATTGAAAGGGGAGGCCTGAATTTTTTCTTCAGTTCTTTCAGCTTGAGGAATGTTGAATGTATTCTTTACTTTTGGATGTCTAACTCCAGGTTTTTCCATATTTCATTATTTGGGTTCATTCTGGCTCCAATATTTTGTAGCAAACTGGATTCTTGCAAGACAGTTAAACTTCTTGTTCCTTTAAAAATTTTTTGCAATGTTTCATGAATTTGCATGTCATCCTTGTGCAGGAGCCATGCTAATCTTCTGTATCATTCCAATTTTAGTATTTGAGGGGTACAAAAAAAAAAACAACAACCCAATGGGATCTATTTTTTTAAGCTATGTGAGTTTTTTTACAAAACAACTTTATCACCTTCAAAATACTCTGCATTGTACTTAATACTTCTGTCAAATCTTCTATTCCATTCTTGGAAACATTTTTTAACTCACCTGTGTGGATGGCTGATAGCACTTTCCTCTTTTTTTTTTTCCTCACCTCTTCTACGTCTTGTCAGATTGCTGTCTTTCATGTCCCTCTTCATTCACAGAAACAAAAAGAAGTCATGGTAAGTGAGGTCAGAGGAGTAAGGTGCGTGAGGCAAGACACACGTTTTTTTTTTTGCCAAAACTGGCGCATTGAGATGGCTGTGTGAGTGAGTAGGTGCATTGTTGTGGTGGCAAAACCACTCCCCGCCCCACCCCCAGTCTACCTCAAACCAGGCCTTTTTTGTCTAGTTATGCAACCTTTTCAGAACCTCTTAATAGAAAGTTTGATTAGTGGTCTGACCTGGTGGAAGTAACTCCAAATGCACTATTCCTTCACATCCAAAAAGCCAATGAACATCGTCTTGATCTTGGATTTCACTTGACAAGCTTTTGGGGAGCGAGGTGATGATGGTGTCTTCCACTGGCTTGATGGATGTTTGCTTTCAGGATTGTAAGAACAGCACCATGTCTCGACCCCAGTATGACCTTGGAATTTAGTCTGGGTCACGTGGTGCTGTTCTTTCAAAGCATGGCGTGTTTCCAGAGGACACTCTGTTTTCCTGGTCAGTCACAACCCGAGGCACACATTTCACAGAGACTCTTCGCATTCTCAAACCTTCCATTAAAATGGGCTGAACTGAGCTCCACGATAGTCCAGATAACCTCCCCATCTCTTCAACTGTCCATTGTGGGTCTTTGAGAAAAGTGCATGCATTTTGTCGACATTTTTGTCCCTTTGGGAAGTAGAGGATTGTCCAGAATGAGGTTTGTCGTAAGTCAACATTTCACCTATTTTTTGAAATAAGAAAACCACCCATACACTTGAGTTTTTTCCACAGTGCTGTCCTTTTAAGTTGTGTTCAACATCACAATAGTTTCTGCGGCATTTTCCTTAATCAGGAAACAAAATATTATAGCTGCATGCTGTTCTCTGAAATTGGTCATCACAAAAAAACGAGGTTTGCACACAGCTGTTTTTACGAAAATAATTCACTGTGACCAAAGAGAACCTTCCCAGGCAACGCTAATGGGTGCACTAACTCAGAGCCAGTTGATGGATGCTCACTTAGCAGGAAAAATGGGTACACAAAAGTTCCGCCCAGCAGAATCCCCCCTTTCTTTTTGGGGTACCCCCTAGTATGTGTTGCTGAAGCAGGCTCGTTTCTTAGTTTCTTAATTTGAAACACAGGGATAATAGTCACACTTTGGGTGTTGTGTGATCCATTGATTTAATGTACATTGAAGATTAAGTATAATGTCTGTACATGTCTCTAATACCTGCGTCAGCCATTACTATCATTAATTATGACTTGCTTAGGCCTGTTTTCCAAGCACAGAATTACTCAGAGGAGAATCTGGAAAGGCAGAATTACAGATGAATTTCAGATAGTCATAAGAGGAGTAGGGAAATGGGAGTGAACAAACAGCAAGAACATTCCAGGAACAATGAGGAAAGGCTTCAGGGTGGAATTATTTCCGAGAAAATGGAGTTGTTTCATACCCACATACTTTAAAGCTAGACTGTGTAGGGGAAACCTTCTGGTTACAATGAGAAAATTAAATGTGTTAAAGAAGCATTTAAAAAAATCATTTTATTGGGGGCACATAACACTCTTATCATAATCCATACATACAGCCACTGTGTAAAGCACATTTGTACATTTGTTGCCATTATCGTTTTCAAAACACTTTCTACTTGAGCCCATGGTATCAGCTCATTTTTCCCCTCCCGCCCCCCTCTCCCTTTCCTCCCTCATGAACCCTTGATAATTTATAAATTATTATTATTATTTCATGTTTACACTGACTGATGTCTCCCTTCACCCACTTTTCTGTTGTCCATCCCCCTGGAAGGGGGTTATATGTAGATCATTGTGATTGGCTCTCCCCTTTCTCCCCCCACCTTCCCCTTCCCCTCCTGGTATTGCTACTTTCAATGTTGGTCCTGAGGGATTTATCTGTTCTGGATTCCCTGTGTTTCTATTTTGTGTACCTATTTAGAGCTAAAATTATATCAGCAAGCAAGGTACCCAACTTGTCTAACAGAAACCCAAAGGAAGAATCCAACAGGAACTATAAAAAGTCAAAAGATTTACATTATATTTCTAGTTCTGTCCTAAGGAGCTAATGCTATATTGACTCAAGTCAATTTATAACTGTGTCATTTAAAAATGGGGCTAGAATTAGTTCATCCAACCAACTCCTGGCAACCACATGTGTTTCAAGATAGCCTTTGATTTTCAAATATTGATTTTTCAGAAGTAGATCACCAAGTCTTTCAAGGTATCTCTACAAAAAAATAACCACTCAAACACACACCACACACACACACACACACAAACTCAAAACAAATCCACGGTCATCGGGTCAATGCCAACTCATAGCAACTGTATTAGACAGGGTAGAACTTTCCTTTTGGGTTTGAGACTTTTAACATCTTGACAGGTGTAAATAGCCTCATTTTTAGACTGATGTTCTCGCACCCCTGACCTTGTGGCTATCAGCTCAGTATCTAATGCTACACCACCAGGGCTCTTCAGGTGCTTTCAGGAAGACTCAAACCTCTAACCACTAAACTAGTTTCTAGGCCCCACATGAAAGGAAGTGCTTTAAAGAGCTAGTGGGAAATGGAATAAAAAGATAATGGGATTGTGACAGCTAAAGCTTACTGTGCCAACCTCGCCTGAAACACATGTATTAATTGGAGGGCGGAGAGATAAATGGCTCCGTGAGCCTTGCCTGTTATTCTCTGGTCTCTTGTTCTCTGATGGTCAGACCAGTCAGTGTATGGCTGCCTTAGCCAGTTCTTTGCCTCAGCTGGCAAGGCTCACTTCCTGCAAGACCTCTGTGAGGAGAAGCCACTTGGACCCACCCTGATGGAGCCCTGGGTGCTGGAGAAGCCAAGTGGAGATCCCTGCCAGTGCTCATATGCTTACATGCTCACTGATTCGGCTTTCTCCTGCATTTGGAGTTATTGTATGTGTTTTGAGTTTGAGGAGGACTTTGTAGATTGGTGTCGGATATATGGGCTAATGTCGGATTTATGGGCTTGGACAGGACTGGGTTGGGATGCTTCCTTAATGTACCTTTATAGGTGCCTTTTATATAAAACTCTCTCTTATAGACATATAAGTTTCTATAGATTTGTTTCTCCAGTCTACCCAGACTAACACACAGGGATCTTTCCACAAACATTTTGACACACTCATGCATTTAATACCTGTTTTACCCCAGAGACTGGGTCTCAGGAGACCGTAAGCAAGATTTTGAAATGCTGGGGGTAGGAGAGAAACTTTTTCTATCCTTATTCACTTTAGAGAAGTAATTAGGTATCGAGTCGGTACCAACTCAAAAGTACAACAAAGCCGTGGTGTTGTTGCCTGGTCCTGTGTTATCCTCACAATTTTCTTACGTTTGAGCTTGCTGCTGTGAGGGGCTTTCTTATCTTGTCATAATAGGCCTTTCTTCTTCCACTGCCCCTTCACTTTACCAAGCACGATGTCCTGCAGGGATTGGTCTCCCCTGATAATATGTGCAAAGTATGTATGACAAAGTTTCGTCACCCTCACCCCTGTGGCGCATTCTGGTTGTACTTCTTCCAAGAAAGATTAGTTTGTTCTTTTGGCAGTTCAGGATACTTCAAGTGTTCTTTACCAGCACCATAGTTGAAATCCATTGATGATCCTTTGTCTTCCTTAGTCAATGTTCAACTTTCACATGCATATGAGGCAAATGAAAATACTGGGGTTTGGGTCAGGAGCACCTGAGTCCTCTCAGTCACCTCCTTGCTTTTCAACACTTTGAAGAGGTCTCGTGCAGCAGATTTACCAAGTGCAATAGGTCATCTGGTCTCTTGACTGCTGCTTCCATAAGCATTGGTGGTGGAGTCCAGCAAGATGAAACCCTTGACCACTCCTGTCCTCTCCATTCATCATGATGTGGCCCCTTGGCCTAGTTGTGAGGATTTTGGTTTTCTTTATATTGAGTTGTAATCGATGTTGAAGGCTGTAATCCCTGGTCTTCTTCAGCAAGTGCTTCACCTTGTCTTTACTCTCAGCAAGGGAGGTGTGTCATCTGCATATCACAGGTTGCTAATAAGCCTTCCTCCAATCCTGATCCGTATTCTTCATACGGTCCAGCTTCTCTGATGATTTGCTCAGCGTACAGGTTGAACAAAGGTGGTCATGCAGCATTTCGATCGTTTGCTATGATCCACACAAATGCCTTAGCCTAGTCAATAAAACACAAGTAAATGCCTTTCTGGTATTGTCGGCTTTAAGTCCATGACATCAGCAGTGATATCCCTTATTTCATGCCCTCTTCTGAATCTGGCATGAACCTCTGGCAACTTGCTGGCAATGTACTGCTGAAACCATTGTTGGATGATCTTCAGCAAAATTATACTTGCTAGTGTTATGAATGATAGTGTTCTATACTTTGAGCATCTTGTTTGAGTACCTTTCTTTGGAATGGATACAAATATGGATCTCTTCCAGTCAGTTGGCCAAGTAGTTATCTTCCAAATTTCTTTTCATAGATCAGCAAGTGCTTCCTGTGTTTCATCAGCTTGTGGAAACATTTCAAATGGTACTCCATTAATTCCTGGTATGGGTAGGTAAAGTGTTGGTTTAATTTATTCCTATCAAGTGATTAGAGGCACTTCCAGTTGGAAAAGGTAATATCGGTTACATTTACTTAACAGAAATAAGTTTGTTCTGCCTGATTCTTAGGTACTGTGATTGCTCAGGTTCAATCTTTAACAGATGCTTTACCCGAAACTAGGAGACCTGTGGCATATTGGGTTTCTAGTGGCGCTAGCAACCACACAGTTAGCTCCAAACCACCAGCTACTTTTCAGGAGAAAGGTGAGGCTTTCTACTCCTGTCCCTCTGGGTAACCACGGGGGTGGTTCTACTTCAGAATCACCACTGAGTCAGCCGTGACTGGATGGCAGGAGAATTACAAAACTTTGACCAGACACTGCAGAAGCTAACCAGGGGACTGATCACTAAGTCCCCAGGATACTGAACAGACGACTGCTAGGCTATCTCCCAATAATGGACAATGGGCAACTGATTACTTGGGTGCCATTGCATCGATTCCAACTTGGAGCGAATCTATGTACAACAAAACAGGGCTTAGTCCTGAGCTGTCCTCACCATTTCTCGTTTGAGCCCACTATTGCAGCCATCTGGAGGGCTCTTCCTTTCTTTGTTGTTCCTCTACTTCACCCAGCATATTGTCCTTCTCCAGACACGGTTTTCCCCCCTTATTAACTTACAAAAGCGCAAATAACTGGCATTTCAATTCAGATACTCGGCGAGGAGGATGCGCTTGCTGGTAGTGAAATCCCCAGCCCTGATTCTGTAACCCTAAATCTGGAGTACTACACGAGGAAGGCGATATGGCTGCTGGTCCGAGGCGTATGGATCTGATACTGTTTGCCCATCATCCTGTCAGTCATTTTCCCAAAGAAGGCAAACATCTGAACTTGAAAACACCAAATCCCGAGCTTTTCCAAAGACGAAGCCCTGTATCTCTTGAGCAGTACACTCATTCTTGCCTGGCCTGGCCAGGATCGGGGCCCTTCCAAGGGGCTCGAAGGGGTCCGCAGTGCAGGGCTCAAAGACAGCCCTCAGCTCAGCTCCAAACCCGAGGGCTCCACTACACGCCAACCGCGGGCGGGGCCAGAAACCGTGAGCGACAGTAAAGCCCGCCTATCGCCAGGGAAACCACGGTAGGGGGCGGGGTGGCGTGAGAATCAGCCAATAGGGGTGAAGGACCTGTTGTTGGGCGGGAGGAAGAGCGCCAACGGGTGCGCGTGAGGCAGCGCTCGCGAAGGTATGGGAGGAAGTCGGCTCAGCCAATGGACGCGGCCGGCGGGTGCCGGTGCGCGTGCGCGCTGGGGCCGCGGGCTGCGGGCGGGAGGCGGGGAGGGTGGGGGAGGGGAGGAGGTGAGAGCGCGGCGGCGCTTCTGCCTCCGCCGCAGCCACCGCTGCAGCGGAGAGGCCATGTTGTGTGGTGTACGAGGAGGGGGAGGGGGAGGAGGAGGAGGAGGGAGCTCAGGCTGAGCGAGGAGACGGGAGAGAGACACCACACATACGGCACAAGATGGCCGGAGAGGCAGCAGCCCCTCGAGCTGTCAGGCGCGCCTTCGCGGCCGTGGGGTGCGTGGCCCGGCGCGGAGCTGCGCGAGGGCC